ATGACTGGCATTTTTTTGATGGCGACACAAAAAATTTTTCTAGTAATTTTGAAAATTTGGCCCAAAAAAATTTGGCCCAAATTTGGGTTTTTTTCAACCGCAAATCGAATTTCGTACGGAAACAAACAAATTTTCGAAAATTTTTTTTTGCATGCAAAATTTAATATTTTGTGTGCATAACGTAGTCCTGGATACGATAAAATTGGCTTTTATTTTCTTTTCACTTAAATTTTTTTTCAAAAACGCTAAAAATTACTATTTCTTTTTTATGGGGTGTTAATGTATGCCTTGATCAATGTCTGATAATTTGAAAATTACAAAATTTAAAATCATCACCCATTAAAAAATTTTGCCAAAAACTAAAAGTTTGATGCTTTTGTTATATCAATTGTGAAAGACAGCCAAACTCAGGTCGTTTTCTATGCATTATAAATGCAAAGACCGTCCAACCTTTGGTGCTTTGAGTAACCAAGGTCTTTGTCACTTGTGTTCGGCTGCAAACACAACCGAAAATTTTTCAGAAATAAATTTAGAAAGAAAAACTCAAACTTTTTGCTTTATGGAAAAACATCTATCATACAATTTTCATTTATGGAAAAATGTTTATCATAGAGATTTCATACAATGTTCTGTACGTATGGCATTGTATGGAATTGTATGACAAGAAATTTCTCATATATGGGAATTGTATGATAAGAAGTTTCGGTCATCCCGGGACTAGAGTTCATAGCGAGAAAAACCACGGCCACAATTTATGAATTTTCTGGTGATCGAAGAACAGTGTGTGAAAAAGTCAAAACTGAAAGACCGAAACAAAATTCACAAGTTTTTCAGACGCTGTTTTAAAATTGATTTATTAATGTTTTCATTGTGCGTGTTTTGTGATATTAATTCTGCCTTTAAATACCAAAATTTATGGCAGTTCGTTATTCTTTGTTGACTTACGATAATTACAGTTAATTTACGTACGAAGTTAAATGTTTTCAATCCGCCAGCTACCCGAAACCGATCTACCTCAGAACCGAAACGAGGCACAAAGTTCTTTGTTTTTCGTGGTATTCTTGGTTTTCTGGGGTTACGTGCTTGTTGTTTTGATCTTTTGTCTTGCTTCGAATTTCTTAGGGTTTTCGTGACCAAATTTTGGCACGGTCCAGACTATCGCGACCCACGGCACGAGTCATGTCCACACTTTCCAGACTAGAACTCTCGGCGCAACTGTGCAATTTGGGTCTGAATCTGGATGCGGCGCAACCCACAATGTGGACATGAGTCTGGGACCTCGACCCGGGCTCTGGACTGTCATGGTTTTGATTCCTTCATTTCGCTGACGCATTTCAGTATTTCCGATTCCGTTTGTTTTTCATTAAACAGACCATTCTTTTCACTGATTTTGCCTTCCGCTATGTGATCTACCTATAGCCGCTAGTGCTACAGTTCCTATCAAAACTGAACTGTTATTTTCATATCGATTTCTGAAATAATCCTTCAAAGTGAGCTTGGAATTTCGCAGTTGTTAGGATTGAGTGCTGATTCTGCTCTCTCTCTCTCTCTCTCTCTCCTCTGTCTCTCTCTCTCTCGCGTCCTTTTTATTGGCGAAGGATGTGTTTATAGCCTATTGGTACTCAATTAAGATACTATTGCACCTCTCAGTTTCTAATTCTTCGAATTCGAATTTGATGCTGTTTCTTCGAACAACTCTATTAGATACCTCGCTTTACGTCGGCCCAGGATTTTTGTCTTACGTCTCCTGCCCTCAAGATTAGGTGAGCCAAAGAAGCTAGTCTTTACTTGGCAACAAAAAAATCTAGCCAATTTTTCGCCTCGGTCGGTTCTTGCCGCATAAATAAATTTGTTCCAGGAGGTGCTCCAACTGGCTGAGTTTTGGCCATTCTGTTGACAAACTTTTTGCCAGTTATCAAATTTTAATCCACGAATTTGATTTTGTTTGATTCTGCTTGGTTGAATAAAGCCGACAAAAACTAACGGGTTTTGCTTAAAGACAAAAGATACCTGCTATTCTTTTCCACTGGATTTTAAGAAAGATAAAAAATTATGAAGATATCTGTAAACATCTGTTTCTGTTTAACGTCCGAGCTAAATAATTTTACATTGCAGTTCAGCCAATTTTTGCGTTGTTTTTGAAAACATTAAGTCCAGCCAATTTTTGCGTTGTTTTTGAAAGCATTTTGAAATTATAAGCAGTTTTTAGCAGGGGAGGATTCACCCGTCGTCACCTAATTTTGGTACTTTGTTACGACTTTAATTTTCGGCGACTCTGCAATGTTTAGAAAGACGCCTTTATTGCCAATGTTTACTAATTTTGAGGGGAGGCGCGCCGCAAAAACGCAATTTTTAGGTCAGAATTTGCCAAAATTGCCCAAACATAGCTTTTTTGGACTGCATCTACAAAAAGTTGCCTGGTGAGCAAAAATTTGCGTTCCAAATAGGGTCTCTTGTGTTTTAAGAGAGATCGGAAAATCAATGTGGTTGACTAAAAAAAGAAGGTGATCAAAAAAGGTCATCAACATCCGCGTTGTGGCTTATCTCTACAAGGCAATATAGCCGGGCAAACTAAAACCATGCAAGCAACTGTAACCGTTCAACTATTGACCTTCCCTAAGTTTGTGAAACTAAAACAGAGAAATCATTTTACTCAATTCTGAACAGTTTGATTTTCTCATGTTTACATGTTGATAAACTAGGAGTTTGTTTTTATTTGGCTAGGAATCTGAGATTTAGGGTTAGAATTGGAATATATCAACATAAACTGGACCGCCGATCTGGACCTCTCCCAATGGCAACGATATTGATACCCGGTTTGGTAATGGTACAAACTTAAGATTGCGGACGGTTAGCAACCGGGATGGCATTGGGAGGTTAGGTGCGTGGAGAGAAAAAGGCAATGACAACCGGGAAGGTTATGCTTCAAAAACAGGTGTTGGTACAGGGGTAGGTTTTGGTACTGAGAATAAACGAAAAACTCAATGGAAAAACTAAAGGAAACCCGGGAAGGTATTGGTAAAGGGGCAGGTATTTGTGCCATAGTTGGTGTCGACATTGGTAAAGGTATGAATACTGGTTACGCATTATTACTGAATGCTAGTAAAGGTATAGGGACAAGACAAGATGACGGAACAGGTGTGGGTACTGATATGGATACAAGCGCGATTTCTGTTAGCGCCACTGATTGTCATTCTGGTAGAAGTACAGGTAGGGAAAATGGAGGTAAAGATACGAGGTTGGGTAGCAGCTGCTTTGGGGAAGCTGGACTGCAAGTTTCGCAGCAATAGCTAATCGCGCAAAGGCAACAATTCCACAGAGAAGAAACTCAGGCATCAAAAAGAACGTCAACAAAACTGCTGACTCACGACAATGAAACTTTGTGAAGTTCAATCAGGGGAACGACGGCAATTCAGAGGAACTGCATCAGCTAAAAAATTTTCAGCCGTGGAAGTTAAAGAAGCTCGCACGACTCTGTACAGCTCGATTCAGCAGCATCATCTAGCCGAGTTTCAAATTATTAGGAAAGGAAAACCTATTCCAAGGAACAGCAATCTTCTGAGCCTTTCACCCCTCTTGGATGATGAGAGCGACATAATTCGTGTAGGAAGACGCCTCGCCAATTCACCATACGATATAGACAAAAAATTTCCGGTTCTGATTCCCAGGAAATTGCGTATCAACAAATAGCAGTAGCTCATTAAGGAAGCGCATGCACGATCGTTTCATAGTGGTCCTCAGAGGACACTCTACACCCTTCGACAAACGATATGGATACCAGGAGGCCTCGCGTTGGCAAAACAAGCAATTCATAATTGCAAGCCTTGCATTCGAAAGAAATCAGACTTCTTCAACCAGAAATGGGAAATTTGCCGCTCGAAGAGTTATAAAATCTTTTATTTTCAGCAACACAGAACTCGATTATTGTGGACTTTTCTACATCAAAGACAGCAGCAACCAAGAGAAGAAAGTATATGTGGCAATCTTCATTTGCTTTGCAACTAAAGTAGTTCACATAGAAATCGTCAACTCTCTCACAAAGGACGATTGCTTAGACGCTGCAGAACGATTTTGCGGCAGAAGTGGATTATTGAATGCTTTTGATTTATAAAAAAAATTATTAAAAGCTTTTAATGAATGACTTCTCTGCAACAAAAACCTAAATGGACGACATCTTCATCACGACAACTCGGCATTGGAGACATTGTTATTGTCAAAGAGGACACTATCCCGCCTTTGATGTGGCCAATGAGTCTTATCACTTAAGTTTTTGATGGCAATGACAACATCATCCGGGTTGCACAAGTCAAAATCCGAACAGGACTCTACAACCGACCAGTCAAAAGATTTGTACTGTTGCACTCCGAGAGAAAATGACCGACTCCAGAAGTTCTCATTTAATTGAACCCGTTAAAGGAAGCCGGGAAATGTTGTGACTTATCTTCACAAGGCAATATAGCCGGGCAAACTGTAATCATCCGTGCAACTGTAGCCGTGCAACTTTTGACTTTAATTAAGTTTGTGAAACTAAAACAGAAAATCTTTTTAGACAATTCTGACAGATTGACTTTCTCACGTTTACATGTTGATAAAATAGAGTTTTTTTTTAAACTTGGTCAGGAATCTGAGATTTAGGGTTAGAATTGGAATATATTGACAATCCTCAACCCCCACGCCCCCCCCCGCCAAGAAACCCCTAGATCCGTCCGTATTATGATTTTCACAATTATATTCAAGTACTTTTTTGGCTTATTTGGTAGTTTTTAAAAGCTGAAATGAAACGCTAGGTTTCAGGGATTTTTTATTTGCAATCATGGTGGAAACTTTTGAATTTTATTAAATTAGTCTATTTATTTTATTAAAAAATGCTAGGTGTCTGGGATTTTTTATTCGCAATCATGGTGGAAATTTTTGAATTTGATTAAGTAAGTCTATTAATTTTATAAATAATTATTGTGAATAGCTTAGGTTATCTGGTCTTTGAAGTTCCTCTGTTGCAGCAAAACGAATGAAACACCTCCGAGTCGAAGTTTGCGATGACTCATTGACTCGCTGTGGGGAGTGCAATAAGTTTGATGAAAAACTCATTGCTTCTGATTCTCCGAACTTCTTACCATGTTTCAAAAAAGAAAAGAAAAAAAAGGATGACGATGATGATGACGACGATGACGATGATGATGATGACGATGACGATGATGATGACGACGATGACGATGATGATGATGACGATGACGATGATGATGACGACGATGATGATGATGATCACAAGAGCAATAAAAAAGAGAAGGGTCTGAAATGGACCGGTTGGAAACGGGCTCACTGCAATATGTATGGAAGCAAAATCAAAATGACCAACACGAAGTACCCGGTACAGTTCTGTGAAATCCTAATCTATGCCCAGAGTAAGTTGTCATTTCATTATTCAGCTCAAATTGACCAGGGCCGTTTAATAATACTTTGATAACCTTCTCATGTAATCGCGAACAAAATCTTTACAATCGGTTTTTTATTTGAATTTTAGCAGTATAATCCTGTGGAATTATTATCTTTCACTGGTATCAGCTAAAATTGGCGTTTTTTTTCTTTGAAAGCCATCAGTAAAAAAACTTACAATTACAACATAAAAACCAAAATAAGGAAAAATTGATAAAAGTTTTGAAGAAGTTCTGTGCTGTTTCAGAGTCTTTCGAGGAGCAGAGAATCAAATTTTTGAACTATTCTGCATCCGAAAACAGCACTTCTGACATTTTGAGCTCCAATGACACCAACTTTTCAACTGCGAGGAAAATACGCTATAAAGAAATGGAAAGCTTGGGCAGAATTTTTTCGATTTCTGAATCTTTTTATGGAATGTCTGCATGTGATCTGAATGCAGAAATTTCGATGGCTGTGTGCACTAACAAAATGCAGCAACTGCAGTGTGATGCGACCACTAAACATTTTCAGGCGTCTTATCAGTGCTCACGTGAGTATAGTACACTTGGATTGTCGGTGAAGTGGTTAAGTCTCCGCCTGTCCATTAGTAGGTCAGTGGTTCGAGCTCCAGAATGATCCATGCTTGCTGTTGACGGCAAGAAAACATTACCCATTACCCAGCCCAGAAAAATAAGCAAAAATGCATGGATGCTTTAAGGGACAAAACAGCGGTTCTCCATAAATGAGATGAACATCTCCTATGTTGTCCTTCTCCTTGTGGTAAATTGGTCCTAAAACAAATGAATCAAGTTAACAAGGTGTGTGAACATGTTTGTCATTGAGACTATTCCTAAAAGCCGGATCGTACTCGAAAAATGAACAGGTATAGAAACTTTTTAAATTTTGTTTTTAACTTTCAGACATCCAATTTTTGCTCTTTTTTCTTGCGACCACTATCGAATGATAGTTATACGGCATCGATTGATTAACTGAAAGCCCGTTTGAGTCCTGATTATGATTCCATCATAATGTAATATGGAAAAAGTTGTCAGTTCAAAAAAAAGAGTAGTTTTTTGCTATTGAGTCAAAAATTTAGCTAAAAGCGGATGGAACTGCAGGTTCTTCATCCGACGATTTTTTTCAAATAATGTATTAAAAACCAAATAACGATTAGGTTTTAAAAATATATATATTGAAAGAAAAACTTCGAAAAGTTTCGAAAAACTGAAAATTAAAAAAAATATATCCATTTTTTAATTAGAATTTTTCTCAAACATATCTGTCGGAAGTTTCTGTGTCAATTGCACAAGTGCCAATTGCTTATGCCTAATAATGAGATTATTTATGAAAAAAGCAAAGGCTGAAGCCGAGAAAAAGTAAATGCTAAAGAAATAAATGATTGCTTCATATAATGGAAGTTGATTGCGGGGTTTTCATGATTTCGCATCTATAGGTAACTTCGACGTGATCAAAGTAGACCGTGTGAAGTGTCCCTACTTGAAGTGTCGCACTTGCTACAACATCCTGTCAAATAAAAATGCGGCCTCACTACACGAGTATCTAAAATGGAGAAACAGCTATTGGGCTAACAAGGATGATAATTATGACAGTCATGTCCAGGAAGCTGTATCAATGGAGAATGTTTGTGGACCCGAAAGCCAAGGTATAATCTAAAACTAATGGTTACCTGCTGAGTTATTTGAGTTTTCGTTGCACTCAAGTAAATGGCTTTGGGCTGAAAATTTCAAAAAAATTGCATAATAGTTTTTGGGAACTAATAAATAATCATCTAATTTTTGTTTATACATAAATGTGTTTTCAAACTATACGCGCAACAAAAATGTATAAAACCTTATAGTTTACCACTCGAAGAGAGCCAGAGTGAGAGGAGACTGAAGGCTATCTAGTTTGCTTAAAGTGCCCGCATAATAACTTTCTATTTCATGAGAAACATGTTTGTCAAAATTTATTTGATTTTTTTTTTAATTTTATTTTTTGCTATTTTGAAATTCTTTAAATAAATGACCACTTTTTATGAAAAAAAAAGAAAGTGAAATAAAAATGCAAAGCTCAAAAATAGTTCAAAAAGTTAGAGATAAAAAACCATATCACGCAGCATGATTAATCATAAATTAATCTACTTTAAACATTCGTTCAATTAAGCAACTGATCAAAAAGCAATCTACTTACCAAAATAATTTCAGTTAACAATTCTTAATGAATTATACAATTATCTTTGAAAATTTCAAAAATCTGCTCATATCGGATTGATTCAAATCGATAAAATTTGAAATAATATCCGTGTCAAAATTAGCCAGAACGTTGAATAAGACACTACGTGCAGATCATAATGTTTTGCATTATATACTCATTAATTTATTGTTTCATTTTGAGACTCCTGGCTCGTGTATCGTCTCCTAAAGAATCGATTATTTTGTTTTTTAAAATGAAATTATAGTCTGTTTCACTGCAATCTTCAGATTTTTAAACATTATTTAAAAGACTTGAGACCTCATATATGTATAGCTCAACCAAGGAAAAATATATTTTTTTTTCGGTTCGTCTTACTTTTTTTTTTAATTTTTGGAATGTAGTTGGTTAATTTTTGTTCGCGGTTAACTTCTAATAACAAAATCTAGAAAACGATTACTTTAATTAAATTTGAGATTTACTTTTTTATTTTTTCAATAGCGTCGATATGAGTCAAAAATATAGTTACGCCGAAGTATTTGATATTTTGGGTGTTTTGTAAGATTGGCTGTTTAATTTACTTTGCGGGTATTATTTTTCCCGCTTGCAATCAAAAATTCTATTCTTCATCTTTTTGGTGCCTTTCTAATCGCTATCATCCAATCATCCTTTTTACTATTTCAGGAAGATTGTTTTGTAGCATCAACCTTTTGTAATTATCCATGTAGATATGTATCCTTAGCAAACAAAGTACTTTAAGAATTCTGTACTGCTTCAAAAGCTCATTTGAAAAGAGCAGGAAAAGATTTGGAAATATTAATAAAATTGTGAAACTCTAGATTCCACTGGTATAATCGTTTCGGCAATGCTTTTCAATAGCAAACAAATTATTTTCTTTGAGAGAGATAAGACTTTAGGAGTGAGTGAACCCGGCCCCTTAGGCCATATATTTGACGTTTTGCAAACAGAATGGCATAATCAACTGTATCAACGGAATTGCAAAAAGCTAAAAACACCCAAAATAGAGCGCTTTTAATTTACCTTCTCAAACATTTTCTCAGAAGTTGTCACCAAAATTTTCACTATGGCATCAACTGAGGTTTTTTTCTTCTAAATACTAAATTCATTGACCGATAAAAATTTTAAAATAGTTTTTTGTGGAATTTAGCAAAATTTGGGAAAAAAGTGGTCGAAAGTTAATACAAACTAATCGATTGCTTCCTTCTTTTTAGGAGACTCTTTGATGAAGTTCCAGGCATTGTGAATTTTTGATGTCGACTTGTTTTTTTTTACTGAATATCTGGTAATAGACATCGTTTTTCTTGTTTCGTAAAAGTTTTTCAACGTTCTGAATTGGTTTTTTTAGACTTTTGCCGAGTCTTCCTATTTCATTTTAAAATGTTTTTAAGAAACTTTTAAACGTTCTTCATTTAAACGTTCTCAAACTTAATTTTCTAGGCCCCAATTCAACTCTATCTCAACTTCATGGTTTAATTAGATGTTTTCTTTTGCATCCCATAATGATTCTCAGTTCATTTGAACAAAGAAACCATGCGGAACAAAATTTTCAATTCTGATATTGTAGTGCTACAATTAATACTTGCAAAATGTAAATCTAAAATAATACAACTGGTTGTATTCATGCTGCTAAATTCATTTTCTTCAGATCTAAACTCAAACGTCAAATTTTTTGATCAGTCAAACTCAGTTTTTGTACAGTTCTCAAAAATGTTCTGTTTTCTTCAGGTGTGCACTTTTAGTATGTTTCTCTTTGGATGTGAACAAAAATCACACAAATTTGTCATTAAAATATAAATCAATTTGTTCAAAAATTTTGCCTCTGGCGTTCTTACCAGCCTTTTTATTGTATTGGGTTTCTTTGATTTTTGATTTTGCGTTCAGTTTTTGTTTTTGATTTATGTCAGAGTTACCAAAAACTTTATTTTCACTCGATTTTTGCCTGAAAGGCAACACTGTCTCCGATACTTTTTTTCGCTGAAAAAACTTTTTTACATTTCATGGAAAAAGTTTTCAAATTAGACAAAAAGGATCGTTTCTGCTCTAAAAACGAAGCAGTTTTGCTGCAAGGTTATGTCAGTATTTTTGCCTGCTGGTTTAGCTTACTTTCAAGCCTGATGTTTTTTTTCAATTGTTGCAAATGAAAGCTGTTTGTTTGAAATACGTTTGTATTGTGTGTCATCGAGGAGATATTTTTGATGAAAATACTTGCATCTTGAAAAATCATCTTCTGCAAAAAATTGCATCAAAACTTATGGCAAAAACTTTCAAATTAGAAATATTTGTTGCTAAAATTTCCTTTGAACAAAATAGATTGTTTCTGTGCTAACGTTACACTAACATAGCTAAATATGTCCTAATTTGTTCCCAAAAAAGGTAACTTTGCAGCAAAAGTAAATTAGTTTTTTTGCCTGCTGATTTAGTTTACTTTCATGTCTGATGTTTTTTTCAATTGTTGGAAAAGAAAGCTGTTTGTTTGCATAACGTCTGTCATGTGTGTCACTGAGGCGATATTTTTGATAAATATACTGATATCTTGAAAAACTTTTTATATCAAAAAATTTTCACCAAGAGGTTCGATAAAATTTGTTCATTTTAGCATTTATCAAAAAATTCTTTACAGAGGTCAGCATCGCTGCCTACTTCTATTTTCTTTGGAAAAAGTTTCTTGCTCCCGATTATATCAAAGTTGTTTTAATACACAAATACTCTGAGGAAGCGCTATCCGCATAAAATTGCATCAAGTTTTTCAATGGAAATAATATGTTCCATATCTTTTTGTTGCTGAGATAAGCAGAGAATCGAACCGATTATGATCAAGTTTTTCTATCCTTAAATCACTGATTTAAAATTTTGAAATTCGATTAATAGACTTTCTTATCTAAAAAGTATTGGAATAAAAAGGTGCCCAAGTGTAGAACGTAAACGGATTATGCTTTAAAGATGTTAAAATGTTAAATGCTATGATCATGCTTAGGAAAATTGAATGTTCAATAATTACAAGCAAGTCATGTTTTTTTTTAAAACATCAGCCAAAATTTTTTCAGTCTTTCACAAATTCGTTTTTTAACTTTTTCAGCAATCAACTTAAAACTGCATCATTGTTGCTTAGTATACCAGATGCCTCGGCTGTTCAAAACTTTCGTCCACACCTTTAAAAATAATGTCAAAAATGATGAAAAAAAAACGTTTTGAGAAAATCAGCAATTTTTGAGAAGTATTTAGTGAGAAGTTTTATCAAGAAAATTTTGTTGGTTAACCCATTTTGGTTCTTGTTTCCATCAATTTGTTTCCACTGATTTAATGCTTAAATAATTTTTGGGGCTAGTTTTCAGTGCAGGTTGATAATCTCCACGTTCACTTTTATTAAGAGCCTGATTTATGTCAAAGATCAAACTTTTGCAAAGAATATATATAATCATAAAGAATATATATATCATCAGGATTTTTACAAGGATTAGCATTTTTTGAAATATCTCTCTGAATTTGGCTTATTACCGACACAATACATTTATTATTGATTGGCAACCATGTCAAAGTCTAAGTAGTTTTTGAAAAAATTTTCTCATCCATCGAACCTCTTAACGTCCCTGGCATCAAGAGGGAGTTACTCAGAAACTCAGAGACCTTTCTGGTGAAATTCTCCTGTTTACGTACAATTTCAGTCAGCTCTTCGTAAAAAAAATCATTTAAAATCATACAGTTTTTTACTCTCGTCCTCATTAGTTTCCGCAAGTTTCCTAATAGCTGCCATGGTCTGCTCAGCCTCCATCTTATTCCTCACTCCCTTCATCTCTCCATGCGAAGGTTTTGGGAGAACACTCTCCATTCTAATAATATCCATACTATTAAAATTCAAAATTCAATAAAATTTTTGTGAATTGGTTTCAAGTTAAAACTTTGTTCGAAAAACAGCGTGTTCAAAAACGAGCGAGTTCAGTTTTTAGAACGAACTAATTTTTGAATGGGTGATCTTTTTTATTCAGATGAGATGTTGTCGACGACTGAGAAGTGTTCTGACTGTCGTCTGGAATTGGAGGCCCTGGAATTGGGCCAGGTAGGAAGTAGACACAGTGCCGCCTTCTACTGCTCTAACATGTATCTGCAGTGGTACGCCAGCTACCGACACAAACAACAGGTCATTACTCCTTCCACGTATCATTCCAAGTACTTAAATCGATCATCGTGGGGATATTCAATTGCGAAGAAAAAATTGTTTTAACAAGTTCAAAATTCAATGTTTAAATTGACCAGCAAAAAGTGCATACAGAATGCAGTGATTTGATTAAGATTTAGATTTTTGGGACTTAAATTCCATACCGAGTATAAGCTCTGATGTGTGATCAATTTTTGTCTCAAATTTAATTTGGAGGAAGTTTTAATCGAACTTACTTGCGCCTCTGCATTAGCTGAAACAGCACTGGAAATAAGGCGCGCATCGGTCATTCCCTAATATAAATTTTCATTGCCCTGCGAAATAAAAAAAAAGAAACAAAGTATCGAAGAGTTCCAAATAATTTACATTTTCATAGTCAACTCGTTATTTACAGAGTCTAATTTTCTCCTGAGAACAAAAAAAGCATCGAGAACCAATTTTCCGCTACTTTCTTTGAAATTCGATATAAAATACAAAAAAAAACAATGTTGATCCGGATTAACAAATGAATTGAATTGCAATTAAGGCTACTGAATTTGGAATTGTCAAATTGTCAAATAAAACAATATACAAAATGAAAGAAGCCAAACAAAAGCTCGTCTTGAGCCCAAAAGATTCAGACTGTTTCTTTTTCTAAAAAAAAGTTTCGAAAAACTGCAACTTCAAAACTTCACAGATTTGTCTCGAATTATGTTCAATATGAAGAAAAAATGTCAAGAAAAAAATTCCGCCGTTAAATAAGAAAATCATTTGCCGACTGGATGACAATACTTGGTTAGACGCCCTTTTAGTCGAAAACAAATTGCTGCCAGAGGAAATTTAGATTTAAAGTCGCGTGTCTCTTGAAACACATAAAATCATGACAATCATTTTTATCTTCAAAGGACGCAACTTGAGGTAAACATTTTGATATAGCCGCGCCATTTAAGCAAAAAAAAACTAAATAAAAAAATTTACAAAAAAAAATTGATTTATTTTATTTACATTTTACAGCACAACTATTAATCATAGTTAAAATTGCTAAGATCAGGCGAAAAATGATGTTATGAAGAAAAGCAAATCCATGCTTTGAAAATTTAGCGGTTAAAATATGTAGGCAAAGGTAAATCCGAATATCCAAGTTTTCAAAAAAATTACACGCATGGAAAAAACCAAGGCATGGCTTGGACTTGAGTCGTAGACATAATTTTAGCTGTGTTTCGGACTCATCAGAAAAATGATTTTGCCAAAATCGAATAATGATTTAGGGCACCAAAATATTGATTTTACCTGTTTTTTGGACTCATCAGAATAGCGGTTTTGTCAAAATTGAACAATGATTTCGGGTACCAAAATAATGATTTTACCTGTTTTTTGGACTAGTCAGAGTAGCGGTTTTGCCAAAATTGAACAATGATTTCGGGTACCAAAAAAACTTGACTTAGGGTCGCATTGAGTAATAGATTGTGCATGTGCTTAGATCCGGGATAAGCTGAGTCTGGTGAGCTACATGATAGCAGTGGACTGTGACTCATTCACCTGTCTGTCTCGGGTGCTCAACTCAGTGAAGCGACTCATGCGACAGAAAGAGGAAGTCACCTGCTGCCAGAACGTTAGATCGAGTCTCAGCTTAACTCGTAGTCCTCCATTTCTTCTAGTTACATTGTTTTGTATAAAATAAAACGTTTTCTTGTTGACACTTGCGAAGTCGCAAAAATTGGTGCCACTTTTGGGGCACCTTTACAGCTTTTTCATAGCATGTGCTTTGACATTCGAATAGTAATAAGTTAACACTGGATGCTTTTTTAATTCATCAAATGAACCAAAAAAATGATTTGGGTACTACTATGATGGAGTCATCCCTTGAAGATAACCAGGTCCCTTGAGAATAAGACACCTAGAGTTTTCAAATTCTTTAATAATTATGATTTTGTCATTCAGAAGGTCAGCAGTATATTTTCAAATTTTATGTTTTGTTACTTTGTAAAGTTTTTACCCTCACCATTTTAAGGAGGAAAACTAAAACAAAACGCCAAAATTTAGGTTCGATGACAAATAAGGCATCCCAATTATGTTTGTTAACCTGTAAAATAAACAGAAGAGAGCAGACTTATTCATATAAATAATGAATTCATTAGAATTTTCAATCTGAAAATTTTGTGACTGAACAAATTTTGCAAGATTTTTGAAATGAACAAATTATACACAAGTTGGTTTTCAAAATGATAACATGTGAAATGCATGAGGGACCTGTCTATCATAGTTGCTTTGTCTAGGGACTTATCTATCATAGTTATCCTGTGTTTCTTTTAAACAACTTAACAATAACTTAATGTATCTCGCAATTTTTTGGATTGCTTATTTTATACATGATGTGGCTTTGTGCTTTGCGATTTGTTACATGCAAAGTTACTGTAAATGATTTCAGTTTGTTATAAATACATTTGCGATAGCAAGAATATTGTAATTGGGTACAAGACTTTTTTCCCGTAAACAACTTGTCCACAGGACTCACCTCTGGACTCCAACTCAAGTCCTCTTTGCAAACCCTCTTTTCATCGTCCTCTTTGCAAAACTTACTCCTCTCGGTTGCAAATATTAAGCATGGTTAAATTTGTCATTTTAAATATCCGTCTTTTTAAAGTTTGCTTTTTGTGTTGGTTGTGATTTTTACAACTCGATTTATTACAATTTTATTTTTTATTTTTTTGTCCGTTTTTCGGCTTAATAGGCTCGGGCTTATTTTATTTTGTTTCGTGACCTAAGTTCGAGTGATTTCTAGAGAAACATAACTTTTTTGTTTACCTCCGGATCGCCCAAAATATTGAAAGTTTTATTGGAAATTATAGTTAAAGTTTTTCATGACAACAACTTTTTTTGGCTTTTTTGTTTTTTTTTTCTTTTTTCGGCTTGATAAGTTTCGGTCTACATTATATCGGTTAAATGGCCGCATGTTGCACATTATATCGGCTTAGTTGCCACATTTTGCGTTGTTTCACGAGCAGTGTACGTGTTTTGAGGGTCAGGGGACTTCATAGTTTCTTAAAAGTCGTATTTTTTTTGCTGTTTTTTTTCGGCTTTGTTTTTTTTTCCTTTTTTGGGCTTAATAGGTTTTGGTCATTATTATAACGGCATAGTGCCGCATAGTTTGTTTGTTTGAGGGTGTGGGAGACTTGATAAATAATAAAAAAAATTCGGCCTAAAGGGTTTCTGCTAAGGTATTTCCGGCTTTGTTACCGCATGATTACATTTCTTTCGATGCTAGTTTCACATTCTGTTGTCTTGGCTCGCTGTTTCAAACCTAGCCTCATCGATTTTTCGATTTTTTTACTTAGCGGCTTTTGTGTTTTGTATCGCAAGTGGTGCGAAGCTCAGCTTTGCCTCTGTGTTAAATAATGGATTAAAAAAGTTGTTTTTAATTTCAAGTAATTGGCATTCCAGAGTGATGGGTCTGTATTTTATATTAAAGGTTTCGATTCAAGGCTCGCTAGCCTTATCTGCTTAAAGTTTGACTCAATGAAAAATCTCTTTTTTTCGTTTTAAAAAACAGATCAAAATTATCCTGCATGAAAGAGTGGATTTGAATTACTTAAATGAGACATGATATAAATAGTCGACTACTGAAAAATAGTCGAGTTGGCGTATTTACTATCGCAGACTTCAACTAATTAAATTCTGATGATGTTTAGTCGTTGACGGACACTATCATTGAAGTGGTGAAGACGAAGATATCAAACATGTCCTCTTCACTACCTGACGTGGAGATACAAGACCTCGAGTCGGACATATCCAACATATTCGCAACCAAACAGGTCAATTTATTTAATTAAAAATTAGAATATTAGATTATAAACAAAATAGAGCGCGTGAACAAACACAATCGGTTTTGTAAGATTTTTTGTGACTTTCAGCCCAGATTGAGAATCTTAATTCTTTCATATTTGCAAAATAAGAGCAAAAAAATAAATTTATCTTTAAAAAAACTTGAAAACAATGAAAATGCACTTAGATGAAGTATAATGAAAACTACTCCGGAAAATGCTATAATGAAAACTAGATGGAAAATGCTGACGCTTTCTGAAGAAAGCGTCAGCCTTTTCCATCTTTGGAGTAGTTTTCATTATACTTTATCTAAGTACCTTTTCATTGTTTTCAGGTTTCTTGAATATCCGAATGATAATCAGTGCGTGCTTCAATTTCATTAAAACTCAAATTTTGTTTCAGAGTGGATCTCTGCCCTGTGGATGCTCGAATGCACTGAGCAGTTGTGTGACTTCGTGGAATGAACAGCTGGTCTCGTGGAAAGTACAACACATCTATCTCCAGAACGATCTCGATTCTTCGGTATTTTCTTTCTAGCTTGTGATTGAGTCAATTGCATCAACTTCAAAATTTTGGCATGAACTACCAAATAAAATCGACAATAGTTCTCAATTTTTTACTTTCGACAAAAGTAAAAAAAATCTGTCGAAAATTAAATGTTTGTTAAAATCACATGTTTTCCTGAAAACGCCAGCTTTAAAATTTCAGTCTTTTGTCGAATGAAACACATCTCGAATTGATATAATTAGTGTCATGAGTATGAATTTAATGGTGCTAAACTTATTAAATAGTTCCAGATGGCACAAATGCATATTGATCTTGTCCAACAGTTAATGACGAACGTTAACTTTGCAGACTGTGAAGTCTCAGTTAAATCAGTCTTGAAGCTGATAGTTAAAGTTTTGAAGCAGAAGACAGAAACTATCAGCAACCAAACTGGAGAAACAGTTAGGCTTAAAAATGAAAATACAAAATTAAAGGAAAAGCTATCAGAACAAGAGCGCTACAGCTCGAAAGATTGTGTAATTATTGAAAATGCTCCATTCAACTCAAACAGTTTTTCGATTTTTTTGAGAAGTGTATCCAAAATAAAATGAAGCCCTGTGATATCAAGACATGCCATTCCATCGAAAAAGACAACAATCTCTATCCACTCAGATTGAAGGCCATTTCGTTTCGTTTGACAATAAAAACAACATTATCACCGCGGACAAAAAGGAAAACCTGAATGCTAACATATCAAACTCATTTTTATCTATCAACATTTGTCAAAGCGTGACAATTTTTGTCAGAGAAAAACGTCTTATGGGTCTTCTTACAGCAACTAAAACCAACTAAAACTTTTCTGCAATAATGGTGAAACAAACAGAAAACAGTCCCAGTAAACCATGAATGAGACTGACCATAGCTTAAAGACTGTGCACTAAAAAGAACTGCAAGAAACCAAATTTTAAAATTAAGATGAATGAAGGATGATTCAAACAGGTGGCAAAAAAGAGAAGCACATTAGATTTATAAAAAAAATCAAGCAAGCTAGTGACGAAGAAAAACGGGAATTTCAGAAAGTGAACTAGCTAAATACACCCCCAACAAAACAAAAAGCGGAATATCAATCCAACGTTCTCTTGTGTTTTTCACGTTATGCAACGACATAGGTCCAATTACCTACTTGGTTTTGTTACAAAGCTGAAGCTAACTCTTATAACATTGAGATGTACTACCCTCCTGTTGTGAAAATTAGAGAAAACAAGGAAGCGGGGTCAAATCTTAACAAAAGTCTTTTACTTTGTTTTTGGAAAAATTATGATTTGGAAGCCATAAAATTGACGTAGATTTGAATTAAAAAAAATGCCATAAGGTAATTTCCTTTTAGATTTCCCTTCACTTTCCTAAAAAGAAGTTTCGATTAATTTTTTTTTTGAAAAAATCTGCATTGATGGGAGATGTCAACGCAGTGTTGCACGATTCCACACAGAATAGAAATTTAATCGAATGGAATTTTAATTTTCTTCAGGACTGAAAACCTTATTAAATCACAATCTAGCTTCATCTACCTCTTTCAACCATGTAGTAGGTATTGAAGCAATCACTGTAGAGTTGCCGCAAGATAAATAAAATTAGAATCCATTTTTTGAAAAATATGAAATTTGAAAAGCTTTTCACCTGAAAAAAGATTGTATTTAACAAAAGATCATTATCGCATTTTTTGCTTCTTAAAAGCCAAGAAGTGTTTTTGTTAGAACTACGTAAAGTTTCAGCTCGTTAAAATTTTCAAGTGATCTGAACAGAACAATAACATAAAGGGTGAAAATAATTCAGGATCAGTTAGAGAAGCAAGCCCTATTAGTCTACTAAAAACAAATAGAATTAGTTTATCCATAAGAATGACATGAATAAGGAAATTAAGCTGCATCTTTATCTTGTGAAAAAAAAAACTAATTGAAAAGTGCTACTCACAAAGTCAAAAAACTAGGGTTCTAATTTGATAAAAATATGACTAAGTACAAATTAAATTTTACACTTCAAACAGTTTCTACCATCAGAATCATTAAATGAGATGGAAAAAGTCGATGAATATTTGTATAAATAAAATTTGTTTTTCTACTGTGGATGCTTCGCTTGCAGTCCAGGCTGATCAAGTTTTTTTATTGAGTTTACCAAGTGCTAGCGTTCACACGTTCTGAAAAGAGCTACCAAATTTCATCAGAAAAAATATTTATGTGGCCCAGATGGCATATCTAGCACGCGCTCTTTAAATAACTTAATTCATTGTTCTCCCAAATTTTTGTAATCTCATTGAGAATAAATTACAATTTCATACCTTTGAGGTTGCTTAATTAACGGTTTTTCTTTAAAAAAAAAGCAACTCATTAAATAATAACAGTTGAAGACCAGTTTCGCTGTTTAACACTCTAGACTAAGTTTTCAAACGGCTTCTTTACGACAAAATAGTATTCTTTTATTGGCCTTCAGAGAAAATGTTGACCCGGTTAGTCACCAGTTTTTGCTCGGTAACCTTGAGCAATATGGGATTAAAGGATAGCCTCTCACTCTTGTTAAACAACAACTAGCTCATCTATCGTTTCTGAAAACTTGATTCTTATATCAAAAAATTTAAACTAGGCTTTTTTTTGATCTGTCTGGCATTTGCGAGAAACGTGAACTTGAAACTATTGCTGATAGTACAGCTATCTTTGGTAGACCAAAAAAGAGGATCTGAGTAAGATTTTTTGCACCATAACAAATGGGACATCAACTAGTGTGTTTGTGCAAAAAGTGATGCATCAACAAACAAGAAGTTTCTCTGAGTAATCTAGAAATAGAAATTTCAAATGGCTTAAATTATCTTGGGTTTTTTATTCAAGTTTTGAGTTTTTTTTGAGAATCACAAAAAATATGTTTAAAAACGTTCTCAAGATTGTTTGATCTAAAGTTAAGAAAGCGAACTGTGTTCAACTGTGTTCCATGGCAAAGGTTTAATTACTACCGTTTTTTTATAAAAACAATCATTCAAGAAGGTGTTTTACTTGATGGGTTAACTAATGAAACTAAACTAAGTTCAGATGTTAAATTGCACCAAAAAGAACAAGGATCGTTGATTACTGTGCAATCAGCACATAAAAAAAACAAAAAAAAATGTTTTCAAATTCGTTTTCTGCGTGATTTAATCAAAAGATCTTGACCAAAAAATGAATTAGGCGTAATCGACAATCACATTAAAATAGCCTGATTGTAAAACAGTTTTTGTAGAAAATTGACTACAGTAACTGAAAAAATTCCTTAGTAATTTTTGAAAACTTTCAAAACATTTTTCATCAACTTTTTTGCAGAAATTTTTTTGAAGTTTGAAGCTTTTGATTTACAATTTGGCGCCAAAAAATCCAAAAACTAACTCGTCCCCGATGAAAATGAGATCATGTTTTAAATTGAGCAATTTTAAGCTATTGTATGAGTCTACTCATTACGAGGATTGTTTGTGGTACTTGATTTTGCAAGGGAAAAAACTAAATCACACCCGAAAGTCAAGTTCCTCCACATTTTCAAATAGCCGGAACTAAACTGATGGCTGACAAGAAAACTGCTACTGCGGTTAAGTTACATTCATATAAGCTCCTCAAAGATATCACTAAGCAATTATATAGTGTTATTTAACTCAATTTTTTTACTTTTTCAAAAATTCGTTAAGAGTCGTCATGCTTTCTCTCATCACTTAGAGTAACTAAGTTTCAATGTTTTAGGGGCGCAGTCATCAACTAAATATTTTCTTTCAAATTGAAAAAAATGTACAATTTTTTCAAGGAGATAGATGCCTTTATTTGATAAGGTTGATGAAATACAAAATAAGTACTAATTTAAAAATTTTGTTCGCAAAGTTTTGCATAATTTTATAGTAGACAACCAAAAGCTTCACAAAGTCATTTTTGACATGTTGATTGAGTTTTTGTGTGGATGACTTGCGCCACTTCACAAGATATATACTCTTAAAACTACACTTTAGCAGCGGTTAGTTTCAGTGTCAGTTGGCTTGATCCCTGCCCCTATATAAGCTCCCTTTGAGCTTACTAGAGCATACTGCGAAAAATAGAAGGTTGATTTTTTAAAAGAAAAAATTACCAGGTGCAATTAATGATTATGCCTCAAGATTATCGGCAGCATCAAATGAATCCGATTTTTTAAATCTTTTTTACTCAAAATTGTTCTTTACTTTTGTTGAAATTGAAAAAAAAAACGAACCATTAGGTGTGTTTATTGTGCACTATTTTCAAGGCACTATTTGAACACTCTGCAATAGTTCGAGACTTTTAGGATTTAACAATAAAAGATTTGATATAAAAAACCTTGGTTGAACAAAAATTTGAAAAAAAAATAGTTGAAGCTGTTGGCGTCTTTTCTATTCTTATGCACATTTCGAGCTAACTTGAATATTTTTTGTGTATCTAGGGCCAACTTCTCAAAACCTTAAGCTTAGCGTTAGTCCTAGGTGAATAATGTTTATGAACCTTGAAAATAAATTGCTGTAATTGTCATTGATAATGTGCGCTTGAATTTTTTTAAATTTTAAATTAGTAAATTACTGACGTCAATGATATAAAGCCATAAAAGTTATGTTGTTTTAGCGAGCCAACACATCAACAGCTAATCCTGAAGGAGAGGAAGTTATTCCAATAATTATTCAAACTGCCGCCCCGACAACTGTGATATACGGGCCAGCAGCCACTGCTACACCTGTGCCAACTGAAGTACAGGTATTGCTTTTATCACACTATCATCCAGAATTAGCTTTAGACATAGAGGAGGTGAAGCGGAGCTTCGCAATACTTGCGATACATCACACACAAAGCATTCAAAGCATTCAAAGCATTGCAAGCTAGAGGAAAGAAACGAGACAGAAGCCACTAAGACCCAAAAAAGACTCAAATAAAACAAAAAACTACATATACAAACGCATGTCTCGAAGGATATTCAATTTGAGATGTAAAAAATGAATACCCAGCATTAATTTAGCACTGAGACAAAAATTACCGAGACGCAACAAGGCAGACAAAACTTGGGTTATATGTCCGTTTAACCAAAAAAAGTTTCCTAGAAAATTTTGTGCTATAAAAACTTTTAAGAGTTCTGCATGTTGTTACGTCAAACGAGGCTCAAAAAAGCATTAAATTATTTTTTGCCCTCAAAAAGATCCAATATAAGGCAGTTAAGTCAATACAACAAGCGCCGAAACCATTAAAGTCCAATAACGTTTAAAGCGGAAAACAATAACAAAAACGGGAATTAATTAAAATCTTGAAAATGCGAGAGGTCTTCAAATAACTAACTTACAGCAGCTCCTGTCAGATTGGCTCTTCGGTCAGTATCTGGTTTTTTAATATGGCCCAAAAACTGAGTTTTGTAGTAATTAATATAACAAATTTATTTGGATTTGGCTATAAAAATTTCTTTCAATCGATATCGAGCAAAAGAGTGAGAACCCAAGGGATTTTTTCTTCATTTTCAGTCGTCGGTCAGCGGGAATAGTCAGGCGCTGGTTGAGATGGAGCAAAGCGTGGTGTCTGTGACTGATAATCAGGCTATAGGAGAGGAAAAGGTTCAATTAGCCGACGACTCATTTGTCGCACAGTGTCAGCTCAGTGCTCCCCAGGACTTCCATCCCGAAGACATGGATTTGTCTGGTACTTATAACTGAAGCTCTAATAAAAACAAGAGTGCTAGAAGTCGATATTTTAGTTAAACAAACTCTTTCTTTGACTTCTATTTCCACAATAGAAGAATGATTATATATAGTTTTAAAAGCGTCTTCGAATCCTTTTTTTGTTAAATGACCAATATGATTGAAAATTTCATAATTTCATCTTCCTCTGGCTACTTTGATTCAGGGCTGAATCTATCTGCAATCAGCAACGTCTTGTTATATTGCAAATGAAACGACAAAAATGGGGTTTTTCTGTTATACGGCCCGAAATTATCAAACTGCGTTCATTAAGCTTCTGAGGTCTTTTCTCCCCTCCCCCCCCCCCAAAAAAAAATTATGAAAAATGAAATGAAAATTTCTATTATATAATTGGAACATTGTTACTAGGAAATGAGCTATATTTTCATGGGACTGGTAAAAACAAACCATTTTTACTTAATTGAGCCTCAAAATGACTTTTTTCTCCAATTTTCGCCTATTTTCTAGGCATAAATTTCATTATAAAAAGGATGCTAAACGCGTTTTTAATTGTCGTTGAGTTCGCATTTTTTGCCAGTTTCTAAGCTTGATTTAACGCTCAGGATATCATCCCTGCATTTTTAAGGAAAATCAGTCAAATTTTGAAAGAATAAGAATTATTTTTAATGGGTATAAAGACCGAGCTTCTGTTTTTTTGAGAACCCAGATTTCTACTTGCCCAAATTAAATTCAACTAACAGATTAGATTAACATGATCAAACTTTCAAAATACCTTAGTGAGCAAAGTTTGGGCAAAGAGAAAAGACCCCATAAATGTAACACAATAAACTAAATAAAGACGTTTCAAAAAATTATCAAAATGTTGCGTAATTTTATTTTCATATTCAATCTTTATAGACATGGCTCTAGTTGCTGGTGAAAATCTAGAGCTGGAAGATGCCGACGGAGATCCCGTCTCGTTCACCCATGAAAGTGTAGTTCCCAGTGTCGAAATGATATCAGCCGAAGACATGTTACTCGATACCTCGACAGACGAAGAGCCAATCCAGTTGCTCACTTCGCTCACTACACAGACGGCTAGTTCGACGTTAGGCCACGCGGACGAAGTGAATGAACTGGCCCCAATGTTGTCTATATCAGTGAAGAAGAGTGCAATAAGCACGAAGATCAGAGATACAAAAAAAGTGATCAAAATTGGCATACCGCAGGGCAGCGCTTCGGCGGAAAACAAGAAGCAGAAAAAGAAGGTTAATTTCTCGTTTTTCGCTCAACCGTTTTTTTAACTGGAAATTAAAATGACTGTGAATCTTCCTAAATACCTGAATAATCAATCTGTTCATTCACTGCGGTAGTGATGTTTTGCAATTGGAAGCGGTATTCTCAATATGACTCTTGTGTGTTTGAGTTACTTTGTTTCAATTAATCTCTGATTTTAGCCTAAAATTCCACCAATCTTGAAATATTGCATGTCTTACGGCACGACGTCGCGCATGTGTTTAGGTTGGAATCAAGTTACCGGAACTGAAGGGCAAGGATACCGTATGTGCACTGAAGAAACTGGAGATATCCTCGGATGTTGCGATGATAATCCAGCTCGAACCCCAATGTGACTTCGAGAGACATGTCGGCAGCAGCTACTACGCAGTCGGCATCCGATACTCCACCCCTCCCGTGTCTACAGATGAATCACAATTCGACTACAGATATCGACTTCCTAAAGGTGGGTGCTTATCCGAATAGCTAACACAAAAGATTATTGTTTGTTCCGACTTTGGATACGAAAGTAACGGAATATTTGTGCTCGGGATGGGTTTTTTTTCTTCAGACAAATTTCGACTTTTTAACTAGCCATTTTTGTCGGATTTTTTTTATATCATTCAAAAGGTATTGTTGTCCTGAGCTTAAATTTGAAAAGATATTTCACCTGTGATCATTTTCCGTGAAGTTATGAGGGTTTAAAGATTGCCATTTTGGCCATTTTGACCAATTTGGGACAATTAACGCGCGATATAATTCGCGCTATTAACGCGTAAGCGGAGATTTAATCCGTCTTATAAACCGTTCCAAATGGGTTGAACGAAGCTTATTTGCCATAATTGATTCGTTACAACAAATGAAATCTCTCTTTTTGTACTTTATATGGCGTGTGGGGGGATGATTTTCGTAAAAAATTTCAAATTTTAGAAAAAAAAATTTTCATTTTATTTTATTTCATTTAATTTTTTTATGTTATTACTGCTGCTCCATAAACATTAAAAGGCAGTCGGAACATTCAGGGCTTCGCCTTGATACGAGCAGTCTTGTTTCAATTGAGTCTTGTTTCAAAAAATGTGCTATTGGTTGCCCACCAAAATGTTTATGCATTTTAGGAAATCATGCCCTTACATAATCAATCTTAGATTAATTTTCTCGAGGGTATATGATTTTTCTTGATTGTATGATTTCTCTCTCTCGTGTATCAAAACCCAGGATTAAATGCTGCAAGGCCAGGATCCAAAGCTGCGAATCTGGGCACAAAATATGACGTTCCAAATTTTATTATTTTTCGAGAAAATGCGATTTTTTCAAAATTTTGATTTTCAGAAAAAAAATTCAAAATTTTTTTTAAATAATTTTATTTAAATGAATGGTATTAACTTGAGTTTTGTACAGCCTTTCCAATTGTACATTGAGAATAATAAAAAAAACTCGTTCTTTTTTCCCATAAAATAAAAATTAAAAGAACTATATTCGAATTTACAATAGACCATAATTCCTACGGCGGACCCTAAATAAGGATATCCGCATACCAGTTTGCATTTTAAGTCACATAAAAAACAAGGGCAAATTGTTTGCATAAAACAATTCAAAAATATGGGTTGAAAACGATGATGACTACACTGAATGATAACAAACCTTGAAGACAAGGGCTCTCAGCGTAAACTGGCGCAAAAACTCATATATGTCAGTCATTCAAATGTCGTAATCTACAAAAATCGCGAATCAAGTAAAAGAAAGCGTACGAAAGCTACAAAGTCAGTTAATTTGAGTGTATTCAAAGAAAAACAACGCTGATCGAGGAGTTCTGAGAGGTGACAAGAGAGCAAAATTGTCAGTCGAAGATATCATAGACGACAGTAACTATTTCTTTTGAGCGGCAAAAGCACTCAAATTTTCTGGTCAAGTAGATCATCGACCTCCCTGTCGAAGTAAAATTTATTGGGAGAAAAAATCTCTAAAGAAAAAATAGCTTTGACAGCATTTTTCCCTAAAGGGACAAGCAGTACCCGCATCCAAGTTTAGGCGTGAATAATCGATTATAACGGATTATTATCATGATTTGTTGACAATTATTATCGATTATAATTACCAAAATTAGGTTTTTAAGAGATTTATATTTGATTATAATTGTGATATTTTCCAAGAGATTATAATCTTTTATAATCGATTATAATTTATTATAATTGATTATAGTTCTTACTAAAAACCCTTAAAATTAATTATAATTGATTATAATCGATTATAATCTCTTAATTTGCGGAAAATTTTCTTTTTTCGAATTATATTTTATGGGTTATTGTTTTTGTGTCAATCAGAAAATCTCTAAAAGAGAGATCTCTTGAGCACTTTGGTTCATCTGAACACTAAGTTTTACCACGAAACAAAAGTTTCATAGAGATCCTTTCATATGAGTGGAAAGGTTCTCGCGGTAGATGAAAAATAAATTTACCGAATCAATCATGAAACTAAATCAATTTGCTGATGTTTTGGTGTTTAAAAGGTCTTAGAATATGCATCGCAAAACAACTCTATTGGGGAAGAAATGAAAAAAAAACTTATAAATTTGAATTAATTGGAAAACTTTAAAAATATTTTTCTGATTTTTCATTGGAACCAACGTCCACAAAAAGCATAAAATATAAACAATTTAGATGCAACTTCGAAGATAAAATTGGACAAACAAAAGGGATTATAATCGATTATAATGGATTTTTTTTTGCAAAACTAATGAAATAGAAATTTGAGTAAAAATAATGGACTATAATCAATTGTAATCGATTACAATTGTATCGAAAAAAGACGAATAAATAATCGATTATAATCGATTACAATGGATTATAAATAATTATAATTTGATTTTAAAAAGAGGGATTATAATCGATTAATTGATTAAAATCGATTGTTTCGCAATTTTAATGAGACTGGTACTAAAATCGTAAAATAATCGATTACTAACGCTTGGAACTGGATGCGGGTAATCATGATGCCCAGTCAAAAGCTAGTAACGGCGAGTTTCGAGATTCTCAAATAAGATTTAAACTAGTAAAATCAAGTCGTCTTTTGATCGGATTCAACTCACTGCTCAAAATCCATCATAAAAAACTGAAAGAGAAAAGTAGAAATGAAAACCCCAAATGATACTCATGACGTCAAAAGGAGCACCTTCACCTTTGGGGAATATAATAGAAAGTGTACTCAGAAGACTGGAAAGCTAGTAATGTCAGGGAATGAATGGCGAGATTTCGATTGAAAGCACGTGAGTTGCAAAAAAAATTACCCATAAACTTTTCAAGGTTCTCGTCTCTAAAGCCCGAAACGCGGCGATAATGGTTCAAAAAACTTTTACCGGTAAAATGAAACTTGTTCTTGTATTATCTAGAAGTGTAAGCGCTGTATCGTATTTTTTGAAGGAGTAATTGCTGCGATCACTGTTCCGGCCAACTTTTGCCAACTTGTTTTTTTTCTCCACGCAAAATCTGGTGCCAAAAAAAATAATGAGAATGGGTCGAATGATATATCATATTAAAACACATTCAGCAGTGTTTTGACCTACCTTAAAAAAAACAAATTTAAAAAATCTGACTTTGAAAAAAAAACGGGTTCGAAGTTTGTGATTATGGTCTCATTCGAACAAAACTAAGCGTTTCAGACAAGGGTGAGCGTTTATTTCAGGATCTATTGTTTAGTTTACTCAAGTAAAATTAGTTTTTTAATTGTTAGCGCCACTGAAAAAAAATTTTTTGTTGTTAGTTGATAAAATGTTACTTTGTTGTAGCTAATTCTAAGTTAAAACTAGTAAAAGAATAAAGGATTAAAGTGAATTAGTCGGTAAGTTAAAACATTAAAACAATGAGAGATCATTCTCTCCGCCGGAGAGAATGGCCAGTGAAGGTCATATAAGAGTGACCTGTTATCTAAATCTAATTAAGGCAAATAAGGTTTGCAATAAATGCAAAATAAGATCCAATCATAAGCAGGAAAATCATTCCTCTAAGCAGGAAAATTTTTAATAAGTAAAATACGAAATAACTGAGTCCTTTCTCCCCCTTTTGGGGACAGAGAAAAAGATTTTATTGCACTACTGAGTAAGCGACTGAAATTAGACAAAGCACCAACAATAGCACTAAGTATTGCACTAGTAATTGGGGGTGAGGTTATCCGGTATCCAACGGATAGGATCTAAAAAGATAGATAAGAGGTAGAAAATCCAAAAACGAAATTATCACCGCGGGTTAAGGGTGAAGAGGTGTGAGGCCAAGGAAGTTAAATAATTGCCTGAGATGAATTTTACAAAGGCAGAATGCGACGAGCAAAAATATCGAATGATCACTCCGAAGGATTGATGAGTTACAAACAGTTACGCACACTAAGTATTCCAACTCAAAATTGTGGAAAATACTGTTTAGCACCGGTGTGCGAAGTGGAAAGTACTCGAGAAGGGAATAGGTATTTAGATTATAGTTTACAACTTCTATACTCATTTAAAAAGTTTTCAAGTTCAGCATTAAAAACTTCACTATCGAGTTCTGAATGTTCTCCAAAATTATCTACTGCCATCCTTAACGATTCATCAGTTGAAGAGGTGGAGGTTTGTTCGGGAGATGGTGAATCCGAGTCAATTAGGATCAACTCCGCCGGAGCCACAACACTGTCTGCCTCGTGAGTGGTGTTATCGTCTATTTCTACCACGATGGGGTTAGTTGCCGAACCAGAGGTTTCTTGGGATATATCTACAGCATCTATAAAATACCTTTGACCGTAAAAATTCGGTGGTCCAACATTCCTACTAGAGCGTCGGATGATGGGAGGAACGTTACCAGGTTTGTTGTAAGAGTCGTGAGTTGAGGTGCAATCGTCAGCGGAATCTACTATTTCGTAAACCGGGAAGTCTGTTATTGTGTCCGAGTCCATTGGATTACGATCGTCCTGAAGTTCCCGTGGCTTCATGATGGTTTCTTCCTCCACCTGTGGTGAAGTTTTCTGTTCCAGTGCACTTGAGGTTCGATTAGCGGGGATAATGCTTATTGGGCATTCAGAAGTCTGGTCCCTAAATTGGTCTCCGTATTGGGCAGTATTGTCTTCTAAAACCTCAGTTTTTATGTCATTTTTGGTTATACTAAAGTTAGGGCCAATTCCATTTGGAATATGAGTCGTGCGTGAGTCGGAAATAAAACGCTCTCTGGCTACATCTCTACAAGGGAAACCGCCCGCTATCCATTCCCATTCACTAGTATCCGAAATATCCGAAGGAATTAGCATGGATTCATCTGAAGCTAAGTAACCTGGAGGGGTTGACGACTTCTTCGAGCGGCGAGTTTGTCTTTGGACTGATTTGGAGGATGTCCCCGACACACGTGTCCTTGTCAGATTATCGGATGGGGCCAGTTCAACTTGTTTGCGAGTCCTAGGAATCGGTTTTCTCGGTTTTGGATTTCGTCTCGAACCCTCCTGCTTCTGACC